TTAAGGCACTACTGCAAGACAGTAAAAACAGGTACCAGGAACTAGGAATTTGTTAAATTGGAACGGGATTCCTCTTTTTTTCGTTGCTAAACTGAAAAATTGGCCTTAGATCTACCGGACCTGACTAGACTTTGGAATGGGACACCACCTCATTTGTGGAGGTTGTCTTGTTAAGCAACTAGTAAATTAGAACTAAAATAATTAGACTGTTCGCTATATATTTCTATGAATTATACATGTAGATGGTTCGGGCTTCGTCTTCAGTTATCACACGATAGAGATCTTGAGTTCGTAATTTAGCTCTTGAATAGGAAGTGTGTAGCGTGCGCATGCGCGCGTATTCTCGCTCCGACGAGGGGCTCACGCTCGAAACGTCGGCTTTAGAATCTCTTTACGGCGGCCATTTTACATTATCACCACAGCTATTAAAACCAAATTTTTTTGTTGTACTCCCGCCCCCCACCCACCCCACCAACCCCTGAAGCAGCATCACAGTTTCATTTGAAGCAGGAGCCCATTAATGGTAATGGACTCCTGTTTGAAGCCAACCCTTTCTTTAGTGCTTAGCGTAGCCAATCAGGTTGCTGTATTTGTGGTAGAAAATTATTACGTGTACACTGACAAAAAATATACTGATATCCAGGGAACAAGATCGAGGAAAGAATCCCTCATGCCACCGATTCCATCAGCAAGAAATTCACCTTCCTTCAGAAAAACGTCAAGTTCGCGGGGTATTGATGGATTACCATTATTTTCGGGGAGAGATCTGGACCAGAAGAACAATGACATGAATGGACTCAAAGTTTATGGTGAAACTGGCAACCTGGCAATCAATTCTGGGAAGAAAAGCACGGCTGAGAAACTCAGTGACACTGGATTTCAGCTTTATACTTCCAAAGACTCGAGTAAACTTCCAAAAATATTAAAACCTAAGAAAAAAGTCAGCAAGGGGTCGAAGCGGAAAAAGACAAATGCTATAAATGATGAAAGTCAAGAAAGTGATGTTAATGCTCGGTTGGGAGCCATACAGGATAATAAAGGCACCTCAGGTGAATTATCTACGGGGCAAGATGGTGGAGAACTTTATAATAAATATGGACTGGACCTTAAAAGAGATTTCAGTAAGTTATTGAATTTTTGCAATTTTTGTCCAAAATCAAAAAGCAGCGTACTCAAGAGTGGACCAAAGGCTACAATTATGATTATCAACAAGGGAAAACTAGGGATGAAGTTGGGGGAAAGAGAACCTCATAGGTCTGGCCAATTCCACTTAAGTAATTTACCGGAAATATTTATTCCGTAATTAAGAAAATATACTTCCTTACCGGAAGTATGTTTTCCGAGACGTCCGCTTGAAGCTTGAACTCGCTTTGATTTTCTGATTGGAAGGTATATCACGACGGAGAGTTTAGAAGTCAAAGACAGATGTTATTCGTCTTTTATCTCTACTACTGAGCGTGTAATTCAATAGTGGAGCGTTGGAGCGTGGAATTGGAAGGTTTTGAGTTTGAACCCGTGAGGGAGAAGATTGAAAATTTTCTGTATTTCAATACCAAGCCCAATAACAATAACAACGGCGCTGAGTATAACAGTAGATTATCATGTTCTCTTTTTATAACGCCTCTGAACAGTTATTTCTGTCTTTTGATTTTTCAGATATGGAAGTGACCAGGCCATTCACTTTCTCGTATTTTCCCGACATTCATATCAAGAAAAAGAAGAAAGAGAGTGACAAAGAGACCGAGGGTAAAAAACAGCGAAAAATATCCAAGGTTAAAACGCCTTCGAACCTGCCGTGAGCTAGTGCAAAGCACCAGAAAAGCTACTTTTGAGCTTTGTCAAGTCATTTATAATTTTAAACAATTCTGACTGTAAGAGAAGCTCGGTGATGACCATGCGAAACTTCAACAGAAGCGAGAAAAGCTCAGCACCGAAAGCACCACTGCGTTCAAAACTCGACAAAATATCCAAGAACATCGACTCTTCAGAGACTGGTCATTTTCTATCTGGAGGGGTGGGGGCGTTGGGAGGATTTTCCTTGTGTCACGATAATAAGGCTCTGTAATCATATCCTTATGATGTCACCCCCCACCCCACCCCCTCATTGGCACTTAGTTGGAAGTCAATTTCCCCACGTCTTTCCTTAATGTACTCTTTAGCGACGACTGATACCCCTTCCGTTCCCCCCTGAAAACCCCCAATACTCCTCCACACTCCCCTCCCCAGAGGATAATCAGTGACTCAGTCCCTAAGGTGGATATGAATTATGAATTTGTTTCCAGGCGATTCAAGAAACTGCCGTCCTTAATTTATGTCGCCTCTAACAATAATACATAGTCTTGTGTTCTTTAACAAAAGAGGAACTCATGGGATGGACGATTAGAAGAATTGACTGAGTTAATAATTTTTGGGTACACTCGGATTTCTAAAGAGGGTCTTGAGAAGTTCTTATACAAATGGTCTTTGGCCCAGCGTATTTCATAAATACTTCACAACTGATGAATTGTCCAAGAAGGATAAATGAGTTTTTCCAATACTGTAAGAAATATACTAAATTTATTCTACTATTTACAGGAAAAGCTTTCCATGGTCTGAGTCTGTGAAATTCACACTTCTTCGGTCCCCCTTCCCCCCG